TACTTTAATTTATAAAGGTATACTTCAGCCTTGGAGATTTTTACATTTAAAATGTTCTGCTTTCTATTTCAGGAATTATATATACATTAGTGTATGAAAATGGTATGTAAAGAACATGTATATAATTGAGTATTATATAGAAAGAAGTGGAATTGTACTTAACCAACACAACAAAAGGAGGCTCTGTACAGTAGACACACTTGTACCAGCTGAACATTAGTACTCAACAGCAGTGATGTTGAAGTGACATGGATTTCAGAATGGATCAGCAATGCTAGAACACATCTGAAGTCTGTAGAAGTCTCATAGCAACCATGGTANACATAGTCTCTTCCTCCTAAGCCATTCTTCATCCATTTAAGAGGAATATTTTAAAGGAATTATTCCTTTAAATGTATTTCTTCTTTTGAAATTCATTACTCTTTTAAAAGTGGTCTTCAAAATAGTAAAGGCTAAAAAGTGGAAAATACAACCTCCACCACCAATACACTCATATGTCATTTTAAAAAGACCTACATATGGAAATTTTTCCACTTATGTATTCTGTGAGCTATCACTTCTGACTGCTGATAATCGCCAGCGTTTAGTTTGCTTAGCAACAGTTTTACAGTAGATGTACTATTTGTGCAACTATAAGACACTTGCACATTCTCTAGAAGTATATGATGCTTCTACTGATTTTCTGCTAGTATGTGTAACATCTTAGTAAGAGCATGCCTCTGCCATTGCTCTGGGATTTTTGCTACACTACTTCACCCCTTGCCTGCCACCAGGGCCTGCGGTCCAGCTTGCAGCTGTGGAGTTTCTGCTGCCGCTTGCTTGCTACCTCCTGGTGAGCCCATCCTGCCATCCCAGCTTGCTTCTCCTGAGATTCCTGATACAGCTCCTTCTGCTATCCACCATGGTTCTGGGGGTTGCTATAGGAAGCTCCTTTTCCCTGTATTCCGCCGACTGCGCCTGCCATTATTCCCGCGGGAGAGACGCGTCAGCCGGGGCACCGCGCCCCCTGGCGGCCGTGCCCGGAAGTGCAGCGAGGGGAGCGTGCGGGCGGCCGGGAGAAGGCTGAGACTGCGTCTCTGAAAGGGGATAAGGTTCCACAGTTTCAATATCTAACATTTATTCAATTTTTTTCTTTCTTTTTCTGTGCCTTGAGGACAGGGGTTTTTTTTCTTTTTGCTTTTTTTTTTTTTTTTTTTTTTTTTGTTAATAAACAGGGTTTTTTTCACTTATGCCCCCCGGTATCCGTTTCTCTCATTGGCAGAAGAAAAGGGAGTTATTGAGGCCATTTCTGTTTAGAGGAAATGCTCATTCCAGGGCATTTTCTCCTAAAATCTGTCTCAACAGAGGAGCACATCCATCAGATAAGAGTCCACAAAAAAATCTCCAACGGTGTGAGGGGTTATAAGCACCTACAAGTAATCTATGGGGCAAATGCATTTGGTACAATTGTCCTTATATTCTGTGGAGGCTCCAGAGCCAAGGACAGTCATGGTGTGGAAGGAGGCCTCAAATGTATGAAGTTAAAGCATAAAAAGAAGGTCTTCCCTCATATAAGAATAGAAGGAAGAAATCTTTTCCCATAGTTCTTTGCACCATTACCATTTCACTGCAACCCAGTTATATGCACCCAGTTGGCCTGCTGGCCATTCCTCCCCTTTTTTACCTTCTATATACTTCCCCTAGAAAGTCCTCCCTTCCCTGGCCCGTTTGCTGCAATCCTCCACCCCTGTTCCCATTGGTTCTCCCTGACCCTGCACCACTTTACCCTGTTCCTACTGGACCCTTGGATCCACCCCCTCATACCCCATATATATTCCTGGACCCTCCATTGTTCCTCGTTTTTCTTCCTGGACCCTTTTGGTGTGTGGCTGTAATAAACCCCACTGGAACTCCATACAAAGGTCCTTCCTGGCTCTCTGCCATTGCTCTGCTATCTGTGGCATGCTTGTGAGCGTGTGAGTATGATTGTAGCCTGCCCAGACGCTTTCCTCACCACCCAATACTCTGTTCTTTTGTTATTTGGGATTAAAACTTCTGCTAACAAAGTGAGAGGAATGACAGATTTGTCTTTACAAACAAGCTGTGGGTCAGCTGGTAAATAAAACTAGCACTCTGAGATAAACAATGGGAAAGATTCCACTGATTGATGAATGGGAAAAAAGATATTTGCATATACAAACAAACTGTATGTTTGATGATAAATGAAATTGGATATTGAAAGATGAAAGAGACAATGGGGAAACACCATGAATTCCTAACAATTAAAAAGAGGGAGGGTTATACATTAGAGGGGAATCTTAGGCATTCTGGCAAATCTGTACCTCTCAAGTACCTCAGCCAATGGGGAAAGAGAGAGGGACAAGTGGCTGGGAAATTAGGACTGAAAAGAGGGTGTGTCCTCCAAAACTTTGGGAGACCCCAGGGGAATGCCCCATGGCCTCTCCCTTTATTCGAATAAAATAAAAGGACTCCTCTGGGTCCTTTCTGGACATAAACCTCTGGTGTTTGTGATTTTATTTTCCTGACAAAAGTTTACATTGTAATATCCCAAAACTACACATAGGCTGCAAAACTTTCTCAGGGCAGGGATTTAACAATTGAAGGATTTTTGCACATTCTGCTTCATTGCTTAACCACCACATGATCGCCAACAATGCCAGCCACAACAGAAACGTCTTCCTGAGCCACACTGCAGGAAGAGAAGTTTTATCTATGAACTCTACTATGAACTTGAGAGACCAGAGACAAAGAGATCATCATGGACCATGATGCCCTCCCCTTTGGGCTGCCATTCAGGCCTGTGGCTTGGCTTAAGAGTTCAGGGCCAGCTGTGTCCCTTCCCAGTGGCTCTGTTCTAATCCCTCCTGTGACAAACTGCTTCTTTGGCCTCTGCTCTGTTCCCAGACAAATTGTCAGGGTTTCCCTTTTCCTCTTCGCCAAGCTCCAATAGCATGATTAAGCACAGCTCTGTCGTACATGGTAAAGTCAAGCATACCAGCAAAACACTCAAGATGCTTAACTCAAACAGAGCCTCTACATGATGCAGTACATGTAACCTTAATTGTCTGATTGTTGATGACTTAACTGTCCCATGGAAATTTTCCCATGCATAAACACAAAACAAATATGTTTGAGGTCACAAACCTAGTATGCAAAAGACAGCTCTAAAATAAGTCAGTGTTTGTAATATTTGGTGTACACTGGATTCCAACATGGTATTTTTATTCATTTGAAAGTTCTCAATTTACTCAGAGTTGCATGGGATTAATTAGGGATTCATTAATGTCATTATTTATTTTTGGCACAGATCTAAACAACTGTTACTACAAGCTCTTAAAAAGAGGTTCCAGTGATTTCAGTGTAATGGACTACATTTCCTAAGATGCCATTTGACATCACTGTCCTCAATAGCAAAGGTCCCAGGTACTCCAAGCCAGATCTTGTTCGTTAAACACTAACACATTTTTGCAAGTCTAGTAATAAGACACATTCAACAGCACACCTAGTACATACATAGCAATGACTTCTGAACCTTGACACTGTTCTACAACAGAGATGATAAAATATGCCACCCAATTATTCTCTTCCTCTGTGATATCAAGCAAGTATAAAAAGAAAAAGACTGGGAATCTATATCTTATGATACACCAAGAGAACTACAAACAAAATGTACCAGGATAGGTGTGAGCCTCACAGAACACACAGAATTGAATGTAGTGTCAGTGCTGGGGCTGAGCTGACAGTTACAAGTTCAGAGATCAGATCTTACCAAGCTCTGGTCTCTGTTTTGTCACAATTATTGTCAGGTGGTGACTATCAAGAAAAGTCAACAGGAACTGCAACAACCCCAGTACACATACCTCCAAGATCATCAGCCAGCAGGACAGAACAAGCATTGTTTTGAAACACAAAAATCTTTGAAATGCAAAATAAAATCAAAAGTAAAACCAAACATTGAGATAGTATCACTACTACTGATTGTTTCTTTTTTCCTTCTGTGTCACTCCCACAGTCTGAGTGAATTACAAGACCTCTTCTCTCCAGGTCATTGGCCTGTGTTTATGGAGCCTTTTACTATTATTACATAACAAATGCTGCCATGTCTGCAAGAACAAAGTAAGGTTTATCAAGTACATTGTGAAAGCCAGAAATAAGGCTTCAGTTCAGAAGACACAAAATACAAACTACTGGAAGAGTAAGTGGTCACCTCTCAAAAAATAAGTACCACCTCTACAGAGATGGTACCATCCCCATAAAGACCACTACAGCATTTTAGAGCACTTGCCACATTCAAAGGTAAGATTTTTGAGGAAGAAGTTTTGTGAAGACTACTAAAGCCCATTCCAGTTCTTTATCACTTTGTCTGCAAAAACTAAAAGTGTCCCTGAAACAGTTTACAACAAAAAATTAAAAGCAAAGTCAGAAGCTTCTGAACTGGACAATTCTTGTACTGATCCTAGAAAATACATGGTAAGAGCCAGCCATAGGCTCAGTCCCAAACACTGAATGTTCTCCCTTAAACATTCACCTCCCAAACAAATCTAAGATTGCAAAATACTGGTTAGGAGTTGCGGGGCGATGTTGCAGGTCTTTTAATGGATTTTTAAAATATGTTTTATATTTCATATGGGGTATTTTTATTATTAGATTCTAAAGTATACTACTTGGCTTTCAGGAAGTTTGCCCCGTCATTGTCGCCACAATTATCACAACTGTGGATACTGGAGAGAAAACTGCTGGCTGACTTTTGAGTGATTTAAGCATATCTTGGAATCAGTTTATCCTCATGCATAGTTGCATGTCATTAGTTATCATGCAGGGGTAACAGAGTTAATAAATGGCATCTTTGAAGATGCATGTGCTTGCTCACTGAATGTTGAAGCTCATCTAAAAGAGCAGAAGTTAAAGCTCGTAAATGAAAAAAGAAAATAATTATTTTCTCTGAGTCATTGTCCCTTCTAGTTCAGCTCATATTGAAGTACAATAGTAACACTTTCAAGTAGTAGTAAAGAACATTTTATTGGAAGTTTATCAAAACTTATGTATCAAAACTAAGGCCACAACTAATGCTAACACAAAGTAAAGAACTTCAAAAGGTTCTTGTAATATGATACAATATAGAAATCTGAGACAAGGCTATTTTCGAAACAGTTACTTAAATATTATGAAATGCAGCACTACTTACTTGTTCTAAAATATTACATTAATTATTCTAGTGATAGTATTTAATGATACAAGTCCTGAATTATCAGTGCATGTAACCTGTTTTTATTTTGGTCCTGTGACAAGTAACTTTCTGTACCACTCCAGCTACCAAAATAAATGAAAGTACAAAACATTGTAATGGACGCTGCCAACAACTCCTTCCTTTTGTGGTAAGTTAATTTCTTTTCTTCTAATGCTAAATATCTCCAGTCATAATAGCAATAAATTCTTCTTGATTGACTGTAAAAAAAAAAAAAGAAAGAAAAAAAGAAAAAAAAAAAGAAAATCATTAGACAACAGCAAACAACAATAAACCATAAAATAAAATAATGCATATCTGTACTTTACTTAAAGGCTTCTCTGCTAGTATCTCTTGCCTCTTATCAATTACTGTGTTTACAAGTTTGCTTCTAGAACAGCAGTTTTGCACAGGTTTTTTCACCTACCATGAAGTCAGAATGGAAGCTTTATGTGGAATACTAAAGCCAGAATCTAGCTCACTTATAATCCCTTATATTATTCCTCATTATAAAAGTAAAAATATTCTAAAGGTGAAACATGCTAGGAAAAAAAAAATCCTGAGAAACACATGTAAGATGGCTATGCAAAATAGTATTATTTTAAAGATATATAAAAATCTTAAGAATGGCAGCTAAATTTTATTAAGCAAGTACTCCTCAAGCAACAATAGCTCCGCTAGCTATGATTTAATTCGGTTTTATTGTTAAAATCTTAATTCAAAACCATTACACCCAGTCTACCATCACAGATCAAACAATGCTATTCCTGTCTCCCCAGTTTCTAACACTTGCCAAATATAAAACAAATTTTAAGAACATTTAGCAATTATCCCATAAATCAGCTAGAATTAAAATAGACATTTGATGCACCTTTACCCATCTGAACTTTCTTCATTTATAATTAATGAAAAGTTTACACAAATATACTTGAAGAAATTAAGTCATAACAGTATATTAATTAGCATTCATTAATTATTTTGCTGCAGTTATACCTGAGGTACTGACCTTACTCATATGTTAAAACATAGCCACTGAAAATGAATTAACCAGTGAACATGTTCACTCTGCAACTAATTACTGTAGTGGGAATGATTAGAGTAAGTTGGTGGTATGGAAAAGACAAGACACACACAAAGCCCTGACAATAATCCATCCCAGCCAATATGCCCACGCTATTCCTAAACAAAGCACTGCAGAGAAAGAACTACGTTCAACAGCTAGAAGAAAATTAAAGAAATTCAACTATGTTAAAGAATAAAAAATAAAAAAAACTAAGTATGTCCTACTGTGATGTATGTAAAAAAATAGGAAACAAGTAGATTTAGCCTAGCTTAGGGCCCTATGCTCTCAAACACCAGTCTATCACATAGCTACATCTAATTCTAAGACACAAAAATACTGTCACTGTATGACTTTAAAAGCATTTCCACAGCTTTATCATAGTAACAATACACTAACAGCACAAATTCAACCCTTGTCTCAAAAATATTCTCTGGTTTACAACATCCTTGAAACCATGCTGCAAAGTGAAAATACAACACTGTAATGACAAACAAACGTTGGAACAAAGAAACTTCAAAAACCAGTGTAGTTACAATTCCCAGTAACCCAAGTAATCCCAGTTATTCCTCTTCAGATGTAGAATCTGTTCACAAGTTAAGCACCATGAACGCAGAAGAACTGTTTTTCATGGCATCAGATTTCTCTCAACTCTATGACTTAAGTAATCATAAAAGAATGAACTAGAATCACAGCTAATATTAAGATAACTTAATGAAGTTGACTTAGAATCTTGAGAGTTAAAGGTGCACATTTTTTCAGTGGTGGGTTGGGTACATAATTCTGTGCTAAAATCCGAGACATGAGACTGGATAGTGTTTCCTACAGCTGCATCCACACAAGGTGATCAAAACTGCATGAACTGACACCATGGAGTTTCTGAAGTTAGCTGTGCCCAAAACCAGGAGTAATTATTAAACCCAGGAATACCAAAACAAGATTATTTACATATTTAAGGGAGACAAAAATATGTCAAATATACTTTCTTTTACAGAAATCTATGTATAGCTCACCAGTGGTTTTGCTGGGAACATAAGGGTTCATGTAGCCTACAAGATACCTTATTTCACTGTGAGCAAAACAATCTCGCAAATGTAATAAAGGTGTTCAACCAAAAGTGGTATTATTCCTGTATTTGAAATAACAATAAAAAATGCTAACACTTAACAATTTCAAAATTTTTTTTTGAGGGCAGGAAAAGGGGAATTAGATGACAGCAAGATTTTGCCACATGACGCAGGTGTTTGAAGACAAATGAAATGGTGATTCACAGGATAATTTACTTTCTCAGAATGAATCTTAAAAAGCTAGGAACAGCCTCAGATGTCTTTAAAGAACAAAAAACACACAGAACTTTAAGGATAAACAGTACCATACATAAACTTTATGCCATTAATCTTCCATATTCAATCTTCTGCTTGATTGCACTAACAAAGACAATGAATGGATGACTGAATAAGGGGTAACTAAGCCACTTAGTCTTAGCTGATCAATTTGATTTAAAGAAATGTAGCACTGACACAAAATAATTATGACTCAATAACCCTCCTGAGAGGAGCTAATGGTCTGTGTTCTATTTGTAGTACCCAAATAGCAATGTGACAAAAGAACATTGATCCACAATTCTGACATCTCATTTGGCAGCTCCAGGAGATCAACACATGACAAAACGTATTTGCACAAAGAATTCTACTTTCACTCACCTCTACAACTATGACTTCCAGGAAATAACACCTACATCAAACAGCATAGAAGACTATCTGTCAGAAGGCTGACAACAACATTTTTTCCACTAGTATGTGTGAGTTTTGAGTCCAACAGATGCTTACAAGCATAAATACCATTGTCACAGGAAAAACTGATGACCTGCTACTGAAATCTCATATATGAGTCACCACTCTGTAAAAATAGTGTTCAATGGACTGATATTGTCTTTAGGTACAAGGTCTTAAATGAGTGATCCTCAAAATTCAGGCATTAAGGTTTCTGATGTAAAAATAAGGTTGTTTTGAGGATAATGAAAAACTCTAAAGTTTCAGTGTTCACAATGATTTAACAACCATAGTATTGAACTTGATTTGGTAATTAATTATCTAGCTAGTAAATCCCTTCTGCAGCTTACTCTGTATGGACATTGTCAATTGCAGAGCCATTTTTCACACTCTGCTTTTCAGCACTCCAAATATGAGTGCTTCAGCCCAGAAGTATGGTAAAGAGCCATCCAAGCTGATCCTATACACACCCAGGCTACTTCCAACATGATTTATTAGCTTAATGCTCCATATCCAATGCTGAAAGCACAACAATGACACATCACCACTTAAGATATGTACAGTAAGTGATCAAAAGACTCCCAGCACTTTAATACTTTTACTGATTTATAAGGAAATAAAAATGTAATGTAGATACACAAAATCTCTTATTTCTACCCTCAACTACACTTTCACCCATCTTTTAATAGACATTGGTTGAGTAAGACTTGGTGGTGAATCAATTAAATTCTTAGACTCCAGGATTAGTAGCTGTCAAAAGCAACCCTCTGCATTACTTGTAAGATAAATTATGTTTGGAATCAAAGTACTCTAGAAAGGAACTAAAGAGGACATTTTTATAACAACGTAACACCTAAAAGGGGAACAAAATTAAGAACAAGATTATATGGTGTTTTATTTGCCAACACGTACTTTCTCCGTCTCCATCCTTATCAAATTCTTCAATCATAGCCCGTAGTTCTTCATCAGACATATTTTCACCCAATTCTCTAGCAACTCGGCGCAGATTTCTCAGACTTATTTTACCAGAGTCATCATCGTCAAACAATTTAAATGCCTTGAGTATTTCTTCTTGTGGGTCTCTGTCCAAAATCCAGTCTGTCACTGCAAGAAGGATACTTAAGTTAGATTAAAAAATTCTGAAAGGTAAACTCAGAATGACCTTTGCGAACTAAGACAATATGAAGAACACTTGTCTGATTTCACCTGTTCTTAGATTTCTATAGAATTCAATGAGCATATTTGTTTGGCTGTCATCTGACCTCTTTCTCACCTCTGTTTTCCCAGGATGAGTTGCTCTTTGGGACCTGACTGTTGCAGTGGAAAATTCCATAGCAGTTCAGTCACAGTCACATTTTCCACATATTTTCCAATAGGAATTAAAAGTACACACAGAATGACTTTCTCTCAAAATTCCAAATTTTCAGAAAAAACACCATAAGCTCTTTTAGATGAAAGTGTGATTTTTTTTATTTTTTTTTTTTAACTTTATATATTTTCATCAGGATAGAATTTTGAGCTGGGGAGAACACTGAAACAGTAAGTGAAAAAAAACATCCACACGGAACCTCTTTTTTAAATATAAAATCACACTAACCAAAAAGCCCCCATAAGCAACCAACCAATGTCATCCCACCCCCAAAACCTGAAAACAAAAAAAGACTAAGCATAGGGGTTATGAAAAGGATGCTCCTATGAATTGCAAAATGTTTATTCTGAAAGGATTCTTCAGCCTTTTTCATTCTTTTCAAGACAACCATTTGTCAGTTCCTGCAAAAGAATATACAAAATTGCCTCATGAAGTATTTTTCTAGTAATTACTTCAGACCAACCAACAATAATGTATCTGCACATCTTTGTGCTTACTAGTCTTGTATTACAGGGCTATCTAGTCTTGTATTATCAAGCCACTAAAAATCATATCAACACCGCTTCCACATGAAGAACCACTTGCCATCTGCTACTAACTGCTACAAGTCTGCTCTGGCTTAGCAAACTTTAGGGGAAAGAATTTTTCATGCTCATATAAGCCAACTTCAGTAATCAAGTTCATTTATCTGCAGATTTAGCCTGAATTTAAATATTTTTTCCTAAAACAACAGTACTGCATCACAGTATTGTTTGAAAAATGCTACCTTTTGTGGCAAAAAGACAACTGAAAAATAATAAAATGACTCTAAATACAAAACTATAGAAGACAAAATATAATTACATCTTTATATATTTCAGTTGACCATTAAATTAAGAGAAATTGGTGGCTCAAGAATTGCTTAGCTATATTCAGCAGCTGCTCTTCACAGTTAATGTCTCAATAACCTATTTTATCTAACTACTCAATCTTTCTGTTGGAAGTGATATTGTATTCAATTCTGTGTCAAGGTCATATGGCACCACAGCTGTATGCTACTTCAACTCAAGTTTTCCAACAGGTTCAATCCCCTTCTAAGTATGTACTGCACTTTCTACAAGAATTTTCCTGTCTTCTTGCAGCACTTAATGACTGTCAATATTGATAGCCAGGCCAGAACAAGGAAACAATGAACAGGACTGGACATCAGGAATTAGAAAAGTAATTGCATGGTAATTACAGTATATTCATTTTACATAGTATTACAGCATAAGGATGCAATTTTAAGACTAATATTACTATTAAATCAATACATTCATTTTCTTTCAAATACTTCCAAAAAGGCTTTATCAATCAGAAAAGTACTAAAAATAATGTTATCTGACCTGGAATATAACTACTGAAATACTACCTATTATTTACAAGACATTTTGTCCAGTACTAACCTATTAAACAACTAAATGCCACATTTCAATCACTAATTGTTAGATACATTAAGATGATTGCTGTTTCTAGCGAAGAGCAAGTCCTGGGGGTTTGGGTGTTTTGTTCCATAAAATCTACAGAAATATAATACCTTGAAGAAATGGACTATCATAATGAGCATAATGAACTAAAATGGACATAATAAGCTAGAAGTATAAACCCACACAGATTACTTTTTGTATGTACTTTTGTATGCAAAAGCATAAATTATACGTAACAAAATCCCTAAAACCTTCAAAGAAACATCAAGTCTAAAAATTCTGCAGATAGACTACACACTCAAAGTACTTAAAATTGCACAATACACAAATTTCAGATGAAAGACACAAGTAATTCTACTGACTTTATCAACAGTTGAAAATCCTGGTTAGTAGAAAATCAAAAATCTACTTCAATTTCTCTAATCTTTTTAATATATGAAATCTGTAATCTGCTTGTCTATGTGTGCACTTCTTCCCATGAAATTCAGTGCCAAATACCTTTCCCACAGCAGGAAGAACAATCTTACAGAGATCCATGAACAAGACAAGAACATCTACGCCTTAAACCAGCATTTACTCTTCCGTGAAAGCTTGAAAGAGATTGTGTATACTCTACTTCCTTTTATACAGTAGCCATCATTCATCTCTACATATCAAATTAAGAATTCAGAAAACAAGTATTTATCTTCCTTCACTACTGACCTATACTACGCAAAATATGAAATTAAATCTCCCACTTCTATTTCTTAATAAATAATTGAAGTCAAAGTACAGCTTTGAAACTGGACTCACTATTATAGGCTAAATATCTCAAGAGGTAGAAACACAATCATACACATACCAACTTCATTAAAATCTTCAAAGGTGATCTTGCCTGTTGATTCTCGATCGTAATCTTTAAGTATTTTCAGGACATCAGCTTTTTTCACATCAAAACCCAAGGCTCTCATTGCCACCTTTTGGAATAAAATGAAAGTGCAACCATAGATAAGGATCAAAATAAAGATTTAACAGATTTTCCTTTTAATTTCAGTAATTACCTTCTTGCCCAAGAGAGGAAGAGTATATCAATAGTTTAGTAATAATAATAAATAAAATAAATAAAAGGAAAAGAGCTTGGAATATTAAAATTTAGAATGACTATTAGGAAATGGAACATCTTGTTACAGTGAGAAAAAAAAAGTTTGCATTTTCAGGGATTTTACAGACTAGACCAAATGCATCTTAGGACAAGTAAATTCCTCATTTCCAAAACCATTCCAAAATCTTATCTTTTTGAGACAAAACTGAAAATAATTCTGCAAGTTACTCTTCATTAGTAAGGCGAGTGTGTATGTTCATGGATTTGTAAGTCCCACAAGACTTTTAACTGGTTTTCCAGTCAGCCATAGAAGCCAACCTACATTTTACTTTACCATTAGTGAAGTTCTTCACATTTAGTTTCCCATTTCACCTTAGATGGCAGTTTCTCAGCACACACTACACTGACTTCCTCCAAATCGATGAATATAGGCTAATCACACGTGGAAAACTACTGAAGTAGTTATTCAAAAATTGATGCTATATGCCAGCTCTGTAGAGAAGGAGATACCTTTTTTCTTTATGATTTACTATTTCATAGTATTAACGTCAGGGTGACAATATTTAATTAGACAGCTAAGAAAAAGCTTTTCAAGCAATCATGACAGCTGGGAATTCAAAGCATACCATAACCAAGGGAGTACCCAGCACAACCCTAGTCACAGTGGCTTCCAACAAAGATAAAATACATGAACTCTGAAAAAAAGGAAGGGGAATTGTTTTACCTAACACACTCCTGTAACACCAAATTAAGTAAAAATAAGACCTTTTTCCTTCTTTGAGTTACTTGGTAGAGCCAGAATGTAGAGCCAATACACTGGATTAGGCATTCTTTCAAAAAAACACAGGCCTCTCCAAAGCTACTTTTTGTTCTTGATGCCTTAATTAGAATAAAAATGCATAAAAGATTTAAGGCGAGTTTAGTGAGCTTCATTTACTACTCTGTAGACTTTCAGGTGGGAGGCCTTACTGAGAAAGACATCCTAAACCCCATCTGCTAATATCTATCATTAGAAGCATCCTTCTTTGGGAAGGGCAACTACTGAGCCTCCCACACATAGAGCAAAGAGCACATCTTATTCCTACATATCATAGGCTTTCTTTTGAAAAATACAGGTAAGCTCTGGCTTTAGCCAACAGTTTTACAAATTGAATTTACATCTTTTACCTACACATCCAAAACCAACAGCAAGCTTTAGGTTATACAGTGTCATTAAAAATAATCAGTTTTTCAGGAGTTTTTCCCACTTGGTCATCTGTTCAAGCTTATCCCTGGTAGACTATATTTATATATTTATATATTTAGAATGCTATAGCAATTCTGTTACTGCATTAAGTATAAAAAGTGGAAGAAAAGTTTATTCTTACACCAATGGAGTATTCCCTGTTTTTTTCTTTTTTTTTTTTTCCTTGTTCCTTTAACCCACCAAGATACAATGAAGGAAGTTTTTAAAGATATAGCCAACATCTTAAGAGCTCACTATGGAACATATATTATCTGCTGTAAAATTGCTTAAATTAAACAAAACTTCTACCTTTAATTCATGATAATTTATTGCTCTATCCTTGTCTGTATCAAACAACTCAAAGGCATCTTTAATTTCTTGCTTCTGTTCTTCAGTCAGTTCTCTTCTTTTCTTCTTTTTGGTTTTGTCTACTGAGAGCTCATTCCTATAGAAAGAGAAAGAAATGTAGGGTAACAGATTTCTATTGGGAAGATGCCACTGTAGATAACTTTTTCCACCAATAAGAAACTCACCATAATTTTAGAAATCACTACCTTACTTAGTCAATATTTTCTCAGCTTGTATTCACAGTTTAAAATAACATTTGAAATAGACAATCTGACTAACACCTCCAGTCCCCCACCCAAAATAAAATCGGCACAGGCATTTTTGTTAATAAGCAGCAACACCAAAAACAAGAGGGTAGAAAAATTACCAGTTAAAAAGGCTTCTTGAGGTTACAAACTAGATGAGCAGTTGAAATTATACAACTCATGAAAATAGTTGGTTTCTACACTGTAGCTTAAAAAAATAAAATAATTTTGGGGACAGACAGGCCAGTGGAGACCAAACTAGGCCAGACAGTCCAACTACTAAAGCTGGTATTAGGTGCTACAAATTGTCTTTGTTGCCTGTAACAGCTCTTAGACAAATGGTACTTGCAGGGTATTTTTTTAAAATCCTTTAGATCCCACACATACACACTGTTTTGAAGACTTTTTGCTCTATTCTGGTGTATATAAAAGAAACAAGCCCCCCAAATCATCAAATCTTGTTCAAAGACAGTCCCCATTTCTTGGATTGGCTAGCCTAGGAATAAGCTTGTATTTTTAGAGGAGTATAGTAAAAGGACAAGAGACAATAACTAAAAAATTTAAGGGGAAAAGCTGCAGCTGGTGGAGAGACTGCAGATGGATCTAAGGGGAAACATTTTCCCAGTGCATGTGGTGATGTGCTAGAACAGTTCTGCTGGGAAGGAGTCTCCATCATCAGCTGTTTTTTGAAACTAACTATAAAAGGTGCTTAGCATCCTCAGCCAGCTTTACGTAGAAGCTGCTGTGATCAGGAAGCTGGCCCAGATGATTTCTGTAAGTACTTTGTAACCTGAATTACTGTATAGTTTATGTTATACTCTCCGGAAAATGCTTTTTATACTCACTTGTCTTTTTGCACCAGAGGCAGAATGCATCCTATACCACCTAGTGTTGAATGCATAACGACTACTGCTCAGAGAACAAAAAACTCTGCAAGATTAACTCTCCAAATCACCTCTAATAAGCTGCTTTGTGCCCTTCTTTGTTAACCATTTGCTAATTTTAATCAAAACCCAAGATTAAACACGTAGACTTAGCTTTCAACAACCACAGATGCAAAAATCCCAAATACATGAAAAGTGCAAGCTTTTTTTGAAAGCAGAAGCTGAGCCTGCTTCAAACCACAATACCCTCAAAGAGTAAGATGTCCTTAACAGACCAATTCAGACAGTGTGATTTCACACAGGCTTTGGATTACTACAGCTCTTGGAAGGACTAAAATAACTATGAGCTAGCTACTTAATTAGGACTGGGAGAATAGTTCAGATCCAGGGAGCCCAGATTTTGTGAGCTACGATGAAGAAATCCATTTATAAATCTGAAAGCAGACTAACATCGAACTCTTTTGAAAGAGCAATCTGGGTACTTAAGTGCTCATTTAGTGCTTAGCATATAATTAATTTATCAAAAGACAAAGCTGTACTCAAATACAAGCAGTTCGGTGCCACTTCTGCAACTACTTTAACCATACTAAACATGAGATTCTTAGACTTAAAAATTAAGGATCACAGTTTCTATGTAAGCGTATTAATTACGCTTGAAAACAAGATTTTGCCAGGTACTGGGATTCATGAACCAGGCTCCTTTATGCTATAGCTACTAAATCAGAATTTATAAACAAAACAAAGCCGAGCAGTTTAACTTTATGAATATTCATGGCCCTTTTGAAGGCACATCAGGCAAGCCAGAAGCGAACCCGTCCCTCTCCCGGCAGACAGACGGGCCTGATCCTCCCCCGGCCGCGCCAGAGGGATCAGACGTGACCGTCTTGAGGCCAGGGACGACCCAGGCCCAGCCACGGCCTAACGCGCCCCGCGTTCCGCCACCACCTCCCGATCGGGGGCGGCGCGGCCCTGAGGGACCCCCACCCGCGCTCCGGGCTCCGGACGGGGCAAGCGGGAAAGCGACCTGCTCGTACCGACCTGAGAGCCAGGCTCATCGTGCCGCTGCCGGGCAGCCAGGTCCGGCAAACGCACCCCCGCCCCGCCGCGTCCGAGCCTCGGCGACGCCGCGCTCCTGCCCTTGGCGACGCCGCTCAAGCCACGCCCCCTCCAATTTACGATGTCTGATTGGTCGCGAGTTGACAAGTTCCCGCCTCCGATGCCTAGACTCTCTGCTATTGGCTGAGATTGCTGCCACTCAGGGCGAAAGGGGTGGTCTGTTCGGCGGGTTGCGGCTGATGGGTGCTGGGAGCGCTTTTGGGCGCTCAGTTGCTTCTGCTGCAGAACGGGCAGCACAAGAAAGTTTTCCTAAGGAGGGATGTTCTTGATGTTTCGTCTTGAATTTCAAGCCTAATCAACAAGAAAAGAGATTTAATCCTTGAAACAGATAGACGCTACAAAGCAAGCTCAAAGTGATGTCCAAGGGTTAGTTAGAAAGACAAATTCTCTTGTCGGTGGAATTTCCTTGTTAAGGTCTAGGGCACGACATGATTCAGTGATGTCAGACAAACAGTTCAGAATTTACACAAAGACATTTGGCAGAACTCCGAAGATAAGGAAAAATTAATAACTCTCCTGAATCAGCTCCAATTCTGACAGACCAAGCTGCCCACCGATTCAAGAGAAGCATGTGGACTAATTAACGCGAGAAATAAGGGAATAATAATTAACCAACAGAAGATTAGAATAATAATTAATAAGAGAAGCATGCAGCTTGAACCCAATGAAAATTAATGTGTTTGTTTGCTAAAATGTATAAATACTTAAGAGTTTTGACAGTTGGTGTGCTTGATTCATGGAATTCCACCAAGCATCCAGGCTTGTGCATCTCTGAAATAAATAATCCATGTCTCACTCAAGCGTGTAATTATTGGCCTATTGCACACAGAGTAACAAATCTGATTTTTGTGGTCAGCACATGTGACCCTGCTGTAGCCTGAATGTGTAGTGGCTGTGTCAGAACACCACCCCGTGGCCCCAGGCCCTCACTCTGACTTGATGCTGTGGGCTGTGGAGGAGGACGCAGAAGTGGCATTTACAGAAGCATTTCTGGCACTTGTACAGATTTTGCCTTACTAAAAATTTGATGGAAAGTAATATGTACTGTGTGGAGGGAGACAGAATACCTTAATATATAATTCCAGTTATCATTGATACTAGTATTTTGGTCTTGCAAAACAGTCAGTGAGTCAACATATCTGTGTGGGGAAAATGCTCGTATCACTGGTGAGAAAACTCAGATTTGTGAAAAGTACTGCCTCAGTGCTCTGGTCTGTGACAAAGCAATTGTCCCTTGCCTTGCTTTGCAAACAGGGCTGTTTCATAACCAGCTGTGACAACACAGTACAGTGTTACTAACTGGGCCATAATGATATTCAGATCCTTGCTAATACTATGTTATGCAGTCTAGTTAGACAGACTGAAAATTCTCAGGCAATGAAAAATTCCTTCAAGCGTTTCAGTCCTGTTCCTTTCAGGACTGTCAGCATGTCTTGGAGATGTTTTGCACCTGTGTTTGCAGTAATAAACTATCAGTGGGTTTGCACCAAGTACACAGTGTTGAATGTGTAGATTTTTGCTTGCTCAGGACACATTTTTCCTGGACAGAGAAAATCAAACAGAGATGAAACTCATCTGGCTGTCTATATTATGTCTGGTCTTCAGATCAAATAGGCAGAGCCAAGATCTTTGTAATTGACCTCTCTTTACAGATGGTAGCTTTGCAACTAAAAGCATAAATTACTGTCAGGTTTGACCCTCAGCCTGTACTATGGTGCATATATAATCACAGATTAATTTTTTGTGTGTTCCACAGAATATATGTGTCCAGAGAGAAAAGGAAGCATTAACCAAGTGGTGTGTGGGTGATTAGCATCAAGGGCCCCTGACTGCACCAAGAGCCCCAAATTGTGTTGTTTCACCCACACTCTGACCTCCACTGTGTTGATCCTGGTGCTCAGCACAGGGTCCTTGCCTGAGCTGCACTGGGGTTATTCCTGCTTTGGTGCTGTGTGCTGCTCTCTTGCTGACATATTGAACAGACTTCGTGGTCTCACCATGAACTTGAGTCATCACCTTGCCATTGTCTGCAGTCACTGGGCTGCTGGCAGGTCAAGTTACTCTGCAGGGAGGTCACAATCCCTGCCTGTGTTGTGACTGTGCTTGGCTTCCAGCTTGTCCTCTCTAATGGTGCACCTGTGCCCTGGCTGCTCTGTGTCAAGTAGAGTGAAATACCTGATACTGATACTCTGGGTGTGCTTCTGGGAACTGGAGATCCACATTTATGTCCCTGCTTCTAAATTTATAAGCTAAAAAGTTGCTCCAGAAACCAAAGTGCCACTTTTGTAAATTGATTATAGTTAGCAGCAGTGCTCATACTGCATGTGAAATGGATATGCGAAGAATTACAAACAGAAAAGACAGGCTCAAGTAATATTAACTAAAAATAAGTACCTGGTCGTGGTAGCAGTGACTTGAAAATCCTTGCATTTTCAAAGTTGGCTAAGCCCATCCTAAAATGACCTCTTATTAACAGAGTTGATAAATGAATAGCACTAGCATGTTCCTCAAACATACATATTGTCAGCTTAATAAAGAAAATAATTAATTAGGAGATATACTTAAAGATGTTGTTACTGGCTTTTACTTAAATTTTCAAAGTCATCTATAGCTTTTTACGGGGCTGTATGCTAGGTCTGTCTTCCTTTTGAAGATAACATGCTTCTCTAGTCCAAATTTCATTAGTTTCATTTGAAACTATCCTACCACTCAGTCCTTAACTGAATTTGAGTGTGCAGAAGATAATAGACCTCAACCCAACTGCTCAAAATCAGATTACATATCAGAATTGTAATTAAATGAATCCTGATTTTCTTAAACAAGTTGGGGACGATTTCATGCAAGTTCAAGGTAATTTTGTTCATGTCACTCTTGGAACAAATCATATGTAAAAATATAAAGCCATACTAAAAACATACCAAGAATCATTGCCAGTTTGATGATTCTGAATATGCTTTTTTGTGCATCTGGGTCAAACTGCTGGGAGATACCTGGCACAGTCACAAAATTGTGTTGCCCAAGTTTCTGAACCTTTTCCCATGTCAGAGTCCTTTTATTTATTTTTTTATTATTTGTTTTTCCAATTTTAATTTCTGTTGAATGCGTCATCACCCCCCACCCCTAACCCCTGTACTCTGTTGGAGGAATGTGTAGGAATATGTGCAAAGTTAGTTGCTAGAATAATTTTTTAACAAATAATTTTTAACAGGTGAGATTAACCTGTCCAATAAAATCCGGGTTGTTAGGAGTGACCTTGCTGAAGATGGTTTTGAGTAGCACAGTAAAAGCAAGGAGCAGGCATGTAACACCGCTGGTTTCTAGTTTGATCTTCAGTTCTGTTATTTTCCTGGTCAGCGCAGCCTCTGGCTTGTGGCCGTCTGGCGCTGGCGAAGTCAGCGGTTGGGACAACAAAGGCACCTTCCCACCCACAGACACTGCACAGGAGGGGCACCCCACCCCTATGGACACTGCATGCACTATGGTGACAGGCTTTGGGGCAGGATTCCACCACGCCAAGGTGATGTGTGAGCTAGTGAAGTGACTCCACAGCATTCTAGACTGCTACTGATGTGCCCCAGAGTGGCTTTCTGACTGCCCTCAAAACCCGGTGCAATACAGTTAAAGTGTTTTGGATAGCAGCTCTCCTGTGTAAGAGTTAACTTTAATGGAATTTAAAATAAAACGTAATGAATGGGTTTGGGGTTTTTTTTTCATTGCTTCTCGATCAATTCTAAACTTCCTAATTCAGTTTGAAAGTGAAGGAACTGAAGATACAGTAGTAGTATTTTGGTTGATACATGGCTGAATTTTTACGCACAAGAGGTACTGCTTACTGATTTAAGTCACATATGCATTAATTATAAATAGGAACTTGGACCAGTATTGGTTGAATGCTGAGACCTAGATTTTTAATATTAGATTAATAAATCCTTCTTTTTCTCCACCTTTATCTCCCTCCCACTTTCCTAACAGAGATGCATTTCTTTGGTTTTTGTTTTCTTTGGCTACAGATGTCTGCTCTTACAAGGCGAAATACATCTATGATGTATGAATATTTTTAATGCAGTTTCTTTCTTAGAAGCATAAATAATTCTGCTAGCAACTTGTAAATATATTCCATCTCGAATGAAAAGTGCTTCTGTTGAGAAATACCTAGAAATTATTACTTAACTGCATAGGATTATAATATTTTATTATGATAATACAAAAAAAAATTATGTGCAAACTGTTAACATTGTAACAACCTTAACAGATTACAGAACAAAAATTCCCATCTGATTTTTATGTCAATTCCCCAATCCACTGAAAACTGAATTAACATATATTTAGATGTTACAAAGAAATCAGCACAACTCTAAAGGTTCAATGTGATGCAGCATTTAAACTTACAATATACATTTTAAATATTTAATCCAAGTAGCATGAAAGGACCGCTGTCAAACTCTTACAATTAAAAACTGATAAGTCTTAACAAAAATAATCAGAGACTGCTCTTTTAACTTAAGATCATTTTAGTATTGTTTATCTAGTAATGAATTTCTTTTAATACAAAAAATAATTTCATGACCCTCAAAAAACTATTTTCATTTGGATTATAGCAGCAGTTTACTAACAAACTCCACTTTGGGTTATAAGCTCACTTCTGAATTAAGAAAATATCCCCTAGAATTTGGTAATGTAAAAAAGTCAAAGTTTTGTTTAAGTACTTAGTGGAATTCAGCATAGCTTAATAGGGCATTTTGACAGTGATTTGGCCATTTAAGGATCCTAGCTGATAGAGATACTGAGCACAGATTTAAACACAAATGATGGAGGATGGAGGCTGTCTTTTCTTTTGAACTGACGTGTTTTGAGTCTTCTCTTAGAAGTTCAGGCTTTACAATACAGTAAAGTTTGGCTACCAAGATTCTAATATTGAATCAAATAATCTGATAACGGTATAACACACCAATACCAATTCAAAGTGATCTTACTCTTCTAGTGAACATTTGCAAAACTTTAGCAACTTGACATGAATATTGGCAAGCTTTGTGATAGGAGTTCTTGGTGACTGGCTTAATGCACAGGATTGCCACCAGGACTCCCACAGTCTTCACAAAAGCAATGTTTAAAAAGAAGGATTATTACTGATGTTACACCACTGTCAACTAATTTGCAGGAATTCAATTACTGTCAGGTAACCTGTAACACCATGGCATCCTCTGGATGACTGGTGTAAGCTTTAGTGATATGTATACCTTCAGCCTGCTTACTAGCCTGTTTTGGTATTTCTTCCTTTGCCAGCTGAGGCCAAGATAAATACCTCTTGGTTTTATGACATTAAGTCTACCCACTGAACACTCACACCACACAATGATGTACATGGATTTCTCAAAAAAAAAAAAAAAGATACTGTGGTATGAGTGATAACAGGTCTTTCAAGTGCTGCACGTCCTGCCCACTCACAATTTTGCTTCAGCTTGGAGATAGGCACTTCTAAGAAGAACGAGGCAACAACCAACCAGTGCAAATCCTGGTAAAGAACATATTCACAGTAAAGGCAGGAGTGTAGTCATCTATGAAGAGATAAAAGCCTTACATAATATACTAGTTTTCATCAATTTTAGACAGAGATGCTTTTTTAATTTTGCAATTTTTTTTTTTCCCAGAAGAATTTGCACCTATTCAGAAGGCAATCAATTTCCTCTCCCTCATGCCTTAGACAAAGCCCAAACCTCTGGCTCCCTTACTTATTGGCTATGATGGGGGCAAGTTTCTGCATAAAGTGAAACAAGAGAAGTTAAACTACACTAATATTTGGGAGAAACATTTGCAGTCTTTTTTGGAACATATATATGTCTATGTACAAAAATAAATTCAGACAGTGTCCTTTTAAAAAAGTTACATATATACAAACTGTTAGAATAATTACACAAACTAACCATTTCAGCAGTTTTTAAATACCACACATTCAATTTTCATAAGCAAGTTACAATGCTATTTAGCATTTCTCAATGTATTCAACTTTTTTTTTGGAAAAAACTCCATGTAGCACACCTTACATTTCAGAACAACCATGTGCAGCACATACTTCTGATGCAAACAGTAAACAATTTGAGTTACATTCTCTTTGTGATAAAAGGTATACTGGGTGCTTAATACAGCACCTTCACTATGGCAAGGTCATGTTAAAGCCTCAATCCCTCCCCTAGCACAGATGATTAACAACCAAGTTACAACACAGTCACATAAAAATATCCTTACGCATAAACAAATGCCTTAAGCTGGTCACAGTCCACTTCTCTCAACTTTCCATAACATACTCTCTAAATATTTTTTATGAGCTGATCAGGAAAAAAAAATAAATACATCCAGCAAAAACTCAATCCACTTTGTACAGAGTAGCATAACACATTAATTCACTAGTTCACAAATTTTCTAATTCCTAACTCACATGCCTACAAGTAAAACAGTTCCCTAGACAATGGTGAGAGTGCTCCTGCTTGCTTCCTCTCTCCTGGCTCCTTGCACCACACCAGGAGACACGAAAGCCTCAACAAACCATCTGCACCAAAAGCTTCTGTGGTAAACTGATGTATCTGCGACTTCCAGCTGGAAAGTTTGGTCTACACAACTTCTATGTGTTAGTGTAGTCTAAAGAAACCACCAGGCAAGTATTGTGCAACGATAAACCTTCAGGTGCTGAGAGGTGCAGCAGATCCCAAGCCCACAGGTGGCAATGGCTGCAGAATTATTTCTTTCTGGACACTGAGTCTGGCATAGATGTTGCTCCTGCTGTGACCTAATGGCTGCTCCTAGCACACACTAGGTCTTAGCAAGAGCTGTTAGGTCAAAACCTGAGCAGGCAGTAATGAATAATCATAAGTCTAGTACTACAGCAACAAGGTTTTAGCCGTGGGTGTAAAACCTCTCATTTTAGCACATGTATCTGCCAGAGTTGTAACAAAATTAAAACAATGTATTTGAATTGCAATACATGTACAAACATGCTCGTGAAAAGTAGAAAGAAAAACTATAGCTTTGGCTAAAGCTACAAGTTTACAGTTTTTATAAAAATATGAATAAAGTAGGAGAAAACAGGGAGAATTTTTAAAGCTCACCTGTATCAATTTGCCATCTTTTTGTTAACACATACTGCTTCTGCTTGTTACCGAGCTTTCAGAACCCATTTAGTTATACAGCAGGTGACATATCACACAAAATTAACTGTCACTGAGAAGAAATTCTTGAATTTGCAACATGAAGTGCTATGCTTGCAATGGATTTCATAGCACAGGTAGAAATCTTGTGACAAACTCCAGCTTGGGAAATGTAGTTGGAAGCTAACCGATACAGCCTTTCTGCTCCAAACATGTTAAAATGCCCAGGTAGTACCTTCTCCACAAGACCTCTGTCTACTAACTCCATCAGGCGCTGGCAGCTTACAACGTAGTCACTGATCCTGCTGTAGGGAAGCCAATCGATCATAGATCCATCATATACCACATCTCCGCTGAACAAAATCTTCCTGTCCTTGTCATGTAAGCAAATACTGCCTCGTGAATGACCAGGCATGTGCATGACAGTGAGCTGTCGATCTCCGAGGCTGATCACATCCCCTGAAAACAGATATGTCACAGGAAATTGTATGCATTTGTCATGTTTCTTAAATGACACAAAGAGAACTACCTACTCATACACAGAGACTTTAGACATATGACATATCGCAACAATGGGAGTGGCGCATTTATCTTCTCAGTGAGCGCCAAAGAAGTGTCTGAAATATAAACGTGCAAAAAGGTATTTTCCAATAACATTAACAGTTAACACAGGCTTGGGGCTGTATTAATGGAATATATTCAAATAAATTCTGATAAACTGGAAAGGAATGCAGTAGACAAAATAAAACAGGAAAAAAATAGAACACATCTAAAGCTGGTTCTCCTCTGAAAGTTTACAAAAAAAGTATTTCACAATACATTGTAATTTTACCCTTATTTAATTCATCTAGAATTGCACTGCTGTTACTCCTAAAAGCAAAAGGCCAAAACATAAATTGCTGGAGGAGCACCAAGACAGGCCTCCATACACTTTCTTCATCTAAGAAGTAAGACATAAAAACAGAACTTTCTTACCATAGGTCCACGTGTTAAATGTGAATGCCTTTTAATTGTACCAGCCACTGAACTGATATTCATGTTATCATGTGTCAGTTAACATCCTAGAAACACTGATGCTAATCTAGCAGCCAATGTACTTTGTCTTTTACAAAAGTATTTTTCTAAATAATCCTCCCTCCTTTTTGAGGGGAAAAAAAAAAAAACACAAAAACAACTTAAACTTCTATTGATTTACTATAGTTAAATGTCACATTCCATCTTTACTGAAGCCTTCAGTAAGTTAGTTCTGCTTTTCCAACCACCTATGTGGGATGGCCTAATAAAGCCAAGAAGACAGTAAGCACCCCGCCTAAGGTATCACCTGTCTGACAGCCACCCTGTAACGTCTGCTTAACAGTACTGTACAGTTTAGGTGCTTTTTTCACCAGAACCCTAGTCACTGTCTCCCATTAGAGACTAAGTGATCTTTCTTATTTGCAAGAAGCCACTTTTGTAAATGCTTTATCAGTAATAAATTATTTTTTACATTTTACATAAGTCAGGTAAAATTCAGTAAGTGTATTTATGTAACATTCATGTAAATTCTGTAAAACAAAAATTGTATTCTCAGTGCACATTTCAGGAATTGTTCTGTTAACTGCCCTTTTCATGTCTTGACAGCTTATAAATAATAAAGGTCACCAGATACCAGAATATGATCTGCTGGCATACTGTTTGAAGCCTAAGGATAAACATCAGGTGCTCAATTAGTTACCTAAATCACTGCTGAGTGATTCTCATTCTAGATGGAGAAAATCTCGGGCCGCTAGAACTTTCAGAACTGGTAGAAATGGTTTAACCCACTACGCGTCTTTTTGGTCCCATGCTAACTACGGGTGGTTTATAGGATCACGGGAGTGACAAAATTAATCGATTTAAATATTTGATCCGAGGAGCTGAGTAAATCTAGAGGCGCTCAGCGGCAAAGAAGCTGCTCCATAATACCCAGCGCATACCGGCGGGGCTGGCCCCCTTACCCTCCTGCAACAGGCGGCTGGGCCGGACGGGCTGGACGCGGAACTGTCGTGCGCTCCAGCCGGGCCGCGGCGGCCGCGCCACCTCCCGGTCCGACAGCCACGTCACGGCCTCGTAGTTGTCGCCGTGGAGCAGTGCCGCCGCCTCGGCGCTGTGCACCGCCACCTCGTCGAAGTGCTGCAGCCCGCCCGAGTG